AACATAAGAATGCATTTTCTGGAAAATATTGCATTCTATTCTAGCATCTTGAGTATCAGAGTAGACAGAGTTCATTCACATGCATTATTTATCATATATGTTTGAAAACATCTGTTAATGTCAGTCTAACAGGGAGTGCTTCAGTGATGTATTGCAGATATTCAAACACTTCACAAATTAAAATGTGCCCATCGAATTAACATACTGGGATCTGATACCGCATATCTAAAATCTGTACCATTAAATTCTTCAGGTGCACTCTGCTGGTTTTGCTCATTCCACCCATTCGGCGTTTTTCACATTCAAAACTGAACTTCAAAAGCAACTTGACATTAGTAACCTCCATTACCTGAGAAATGTCTCTAACTAGTCTGATCTTACACAATGATGGACAATGAAAACCACAAGGCTCATATAAGAAGTTCTGAAGACATTTTTTACAACACACAAAAAACTAATTTACAGCTTAATAGCACCTTGTCCACTTTCATTACATAGAAATGGCTAGTAGAAAATTGCACTTAATAATAAAGCATTGATTTGCCGGCCTCTTGCAGTTCTTCTGAGAAAGAGTAATTCTTGAACAATTTCTAATTTATTACACAAAAATGACATTCTATATCCATAATCCATCTCAAAAGTCCAGCTAAAGTGTAATAGTGGTCACGTACAGAGCTTCATTCTGGGTTAACCTAATTTACAATATCTTATAGTGCTGTATGAATAAAATGAACAGGTACTGAAGCTGTACTTCCACTCTCTTGAATAAAAATGCAAACAGTTATTCGATGATGAAATTCTCAAATCCAGTCTCTCTTGTTCCAGAATAAGGAGACCTCATGACCTTGCCGCACTTTGCATTACCCACAAATCCACAGCTGAAGCCTCATGCTGCCCTCTTCCTGCCCAGATGGGTCATCTCTAATTCATCACTAGGGAGAGGAACGTTTTAAAAATGAAAAAGGAAATGCCATTCTAACAATCCCCAATGGAAAGACACAGCAGCACCTCGCCGTTAGAGCACCAGGTGGGAATGTGAGAGACTGACACGTCAGGATGCAATTAAAAACATTGGGAACAAACCTGGAACACAATCTGAGGGTTCTAGTGTAATATACATCATTACAATCATGCTGACGCAAAACAAGCACTGCTTTGTGAAAGACAGCAAAGCTTTTACTGAGTGTTGGAACGGAACGTCCTTTTCAGGTGACCGTGCGAAGTGCTCTCGTAGGTTTGCTTCACTGCTGTGGTGTTATTCAGAGCGGTCTTTGGAGATGTCGACTCAAGTGGGTGAGAGCACCAGCACAGTTGGGCTGTCTGAATCAACATTGAGCCTTAAAATGCATTTCTTCTGCCTCTCAAGCTGTTGTACATTCAACTAAATGGAACACTCGGACATTCCTTACCTCTACACAACTTGTGTTCCTTTCAGAGAAAGGTCAGGGCCTGTGCTGTGTCTATAAGGACAGAATGTTGTATCTCTGACGTAATCATCAGATCTTGTACAATTAAAAAAAAAAACAAGAAAGAAAAGAAAACACAGGCAGCAACTCCATGTGGCATATTCTGCACAAAAATTAACACGAGAGAGACATGACTCAACTCTATGAACAACTGCTTCCACATTTAGCCTCAGTGACCAACGCAATTTCCAATGTAGTACAGTATATGGAAATTGTACAAAAATGAAGAACAAAATGAATTAATTAAAACATTAAATTAAAAAAAACAAACATAAAAATCAATTAAATCTTGAGGATGTGTCCCACAACAGGACAAGGTAATACTGATACAGCTAAATGAAGGCCCATTTAAAGCATCTAGAAATGTTTTATTATAATACAGTAAAATATTTACTGTAAATAATAATGTATATAATATACTAGGTCTGTCCAATAATGGTTAAGCTGTTCAAAAAATATAATCACAATTATTAATCACGACTAGTGTCATTTTTTTTTAATTTAATCTGAATTATTGACTGTATTACACTTTTATTTGAGCAGAATATCTCAATAGTATGGAAGCCCGTTTCCGCCACTGAATAAAAAAAAAACTCGTGATACAAACTCGTAATTCTGACTTTTTTTCTCAGAATTGTGTGATATTAAAAAAAGCAGAAAAAAAGTCAGAATTGTGAGATAAAAAGTCGCAATTACCTCTTTTATTTTTTATTCAGTGGCGGAAATGGGCTTCAAATAGAGATTGCTAACCACCAACTTACACATTTGCCAGTGTTCTCAGCTCATTAGAGCTTTTTCAGTAATGTGCACATGCCAGGTTGGGAAGATTGAGTAACCACTAGGCAAATGTATAATTTTTTGGAAAAAAAGAAGAAAAAAAAAGGATTTAACCACAACTACAATCTGGGAATGCTTGTGGAGTCTAGTAACCAATGCAAGATAATGCAAAAGTCAAATTACAATGAAAAGTCGACGATTATGCTTAACAAACCAAGAGAAGCAAAAAATGTAATCACGATTAAAATACTGTTTACCACACAGCACTATAATATAAAAAAATATATATAGTGGTGCTCAACAGAGTTCAACATTTACAAAGAGTTTCCTACTATCAGTTTGCTATGGAAAAAGATTATACCAGAGATTTTAGCAGAAATACGTAGGCGATACATAGGTGTAAGCTAACAATGCAAAACTACAACAGCCATATTAAAATATATAATATACACAAATATTGAATAACATAGCAACATAATTAATATACTGCCATATATTATGTATTTTAGAGAAATTAACTGTTATTTAATGACTGACACTGAGTGACCCTGTTAACGTTATGTTGCATCATTCAGCTTTAATTTTGAGGCCTCGTTCTTCCCCGTTCACAGTTTCCGAAGTGCAGAGGGTATATTATTTAAAAGTTTTCTGTTTCAGGTATGGTAGTGTCTGTTCATCGAGTTTACTGATGCTTTTCATAGAAAAGAGGAGAAAGCAACAAAAAGTGATTCGAAATGAAAGAAAAGTCTCCTGGCGAGACGTTTAAAATGCATACTTTGGCATGCCTGACATGGTAAATAAAGAGAAAATAGCCAAGCTTAATTAAGTAGCTTACTCAAGGTCTATAAAAAAGCCACAACATTATGCAAATAGAATGGAGGCTAGATCGAACTGAGCCGGTTGTGAAGAGGAAGGCAACTAAACAATTAGAGCCAATAAAAGTAAAGTGGAAATGAAAGATTAAATGGATATTTAAGATGGCAATAAAGACATAATTGCTGAGAACTTTGTGATGAGCCAGTAGAGGCAACTATCATACTATGAGACAGACTGAGTGCATATAAAACATGAAGACGTGCTTGACTTGCGATATCCTTGTGTATCTATGGCGCTGTACAATGTTAAACAAACTACTCAAAAATGTTTGCACACTGCAGTACTTAACAAACGTCACAAGATTATGCATTACTTGTAAACATATTTATATGACATATATTTACAGTAATAAACTAAAGAGGTATTCACAAGCTGCATTTGCAGTCACTGACTCAAACCAGTTTGATTCATTGACTCTGATTCAAACTAATTTTCATTAGTATAATTTTAAAAATAAAATTCCTTTCTCTCCTTCATGTCATTCCAAATCAGCATGACAACATTTTTAGGCAGAAAATAATTTAAATCACATCTAACTAAAGAGTTGTTCACAAGCTGCATTTGCAGTCATTTATTCAAACCAGTTTGACTCATTGATCAAAACCAGTTTAATTCATAAATATTTTCATTAGTATAATTTGACATATAAAATTCATTTCTCCCCTTCTTGTCATTCCAAATCAGAAATGACAACATTTTAGGTGAAAAATCTTTAAAATCACGTCATTAAAATACATAAAAAAAATATATATATAATACTACCAAATCGTTACTAAGAAAGGGAGGTGAAATATTAGCTACACTAGCTTCAGCCTACTCTGTGTGTGTGTGTGTGTGTTAATGTGCTTGAATAGCAACAGAACCTCTGCATCTGTCTTGAAATCTGTCTGTCACTTCAAATAACCACTTTCTGCTAAGAGAGAAAATGAGGGGAAAGGGGCTGAAAACAGGCAAGGGGAAATGAGAAAAGAGAGCAGAGGTGCTACTGACGGCATAGCTTGAGAAAGAGAAAGAGAGATAGAGAAAGCAAGCAAGAGCGATGCGGGGTGGGCTACAGACTGGGGGGTCAGGCTAAGCTGTAATAGACTGAAGCTCAAACGAATGAGTCTGTCAGGTTGAGCCCAGGCCTTGACTGACTGCTCCTTTCAACCCGCCAGCAGCCCAACATCCAACCCAGAGGCTCCTCCATGCAAGACGACTTCCCTAATGATGATGCACGACTCTCGGTAGGTGGTGGTGGTGGGGGATTTCTTTGTGAGCCAACTCAAGCTTCTGGGGAATGAGAAGCCGCGACCACCTGAATTGCAAACAAGCAGCCGAAACCTCTGTCACAGTCGTTTCAATGGGCTAAAGAAAGAAAAGTGGGGGGAAAGAGTGAAATGGATGCTGGCGGTTCGAGAAAATCGATTGCGAAAATTAATAAGTGAATTCCCCGCAGCACACCGGGCGCCTCAAACATCTCAATCTCCTTCCTCACCTCTTTCTTTTATTTCTCTCATCTGAGCGAGAGGGAGAGGAATTCGAAACACCTCCCACACTCCTTGAGACGGTTCCACCGATACATTGACAAAAGAGCTGAATTTCAAAGACACTCAGCATCCACGTCTATGGAGACCGTGGCCCTCGTTTTGTAAGGTTAGTGAAATCCTCATCCAACAACGTGGGTGTCATTTTCTAGTTTTTATTTTTTTTTTCTTCTCTCTGCAGTTCTTTTTTATTGTGTGCTATATTCAATAATCTCCCCTTGACTCCTGAATCCACTTTTAACTCAAACAAAAATCCCCAATAAAAAAACTACACACGTTTATAGATCAGCGCAGTTTACTGGAGTTAAGAAGCACTTAGGAGCTGGGTATATGCGGATGAGTTCTTGAAAAGTACCTGCTCTTGACGCTCAAGCCATCGGTCCACCATGGGATGGCTGGCACTGAGGGAGGAGCGAGCGTTTTCTCTCTGAAACTGGGTGGCCCAGGGGACACCATCACGAGGCAGGCTGCGGTAAGTTTCCAGACCCTTACCCTGGAAAGCACAATGAAGGTGATGAAAGAGGATGTTTACACCTGGTTTCTTCACCCAAAAATTACAATTCTGTCATTTACTCACCCTCGTTAGAAAACTAAAACTCTATAACTCTTCAACATAGGCTCACTGAAAAAACATGCCTCTACCTACATTTTGGCAAACAATTCACTATATTTTCCAGTTTAACTGAACACCAACAACTTTAATTCCTATGCAAATGATGAGAAATGGGGCAGATTATCGATTTATATACACTTATTTTCACATGGTTCCTTGCACAATACAAATCACTAGCCAATTTGACGGGTTACTTTTCGTAAGTTATGTTCACTCATTAATTTCTTGGGGAAGTTAATGCAAGCCAAATCTGTGCAGGTTTAGCTCAAATACTGAACTCGTGAGACATCATGACATTATCGAGTATATTGCAAGAAGTGAGTTTTTCACTGCATGATTCAGTCTATTAATATGCATTAAGAATGATCACATAATTCAAGATAAGGGGGCAGAAAATGTATATATTTATATCAATTCATATAGTTAATCAATATCACACGAAGAGTGCCGTTTTTTCTTTAAAAAATCAGCATGGTTACAAATGTGATATAGATTTTCTACAACAGTTCAATAAACAATAAGTTAATATCAAGAGACTTACGTTTTATTTAGACTTACGTGAGACTTACATACAACATATTGGCTGTTTTTGCGCTATTTCTGCGCTATATATTCTGCGCCAACAAAAAACATTCCAAACACAGCCACTGCACTGTTTTGTGTCTCATTCCTGAATGAATCAAACTTTTAAATGATTCTGTTCAATCGCAATGACTCACTTAACAGTGACTTGCTGCCACCTACTGGCGGTTTTAATTGGTTTAATTTTACATTTAGAGTATCTTTTCATTTTTAAAATAATTAAAAATATCAGTATTCAACATTTCATGTTTAAAATATCAAAAAAATATTTATGCATTTGTAACTGCAGGTTAAAGCATTCCATTTCCCTCTAAGCTGCATTAACATGTGTAAATATATCTAAATGCCACTTCATGCAACTTCTGCAAAGATCAATTTTATTGATACTGATTTAATTTGTTTAGTAACAGCCTAAATGTAGTATTATTATAATTGACTGATTAAATGTAAGAATTTGACTCAAAAGATGGTGTACACTTTTAGAAAAAAATGGCTTTATAAAGGTAAAAATGCGCATATAAGGTAAAAATCAATTTAAACTTATTGGAAAAGATTAATTTATATCGCTGCTGTGAACTGACCACACAGAATATGAAGAATATCAAAAACTTTAGGAGTCAGCTGTCCACGGTAGTCCTTAAGATACCAGCACAATAACACACTCACCAAAATATTGTCTAATTATCTTTATCGATAAAATCTCAGAAAATATTGAGATATTATTTTTTGTCAATATCGCACACCCCTAGTACTGACACAAAATGATTTGCAAAGATCGCTTTGTCACATCCAGTGTAGACAGCCTCAAACTGTTGGTTTATTTCTGTCTTTTTTTCTCTTTTTTTTTGGCTGGTAGAAGTTATGAATGGCTGGTAACTTAAAAATTTAGTAGCCAAATTGGCTGGTGAGTGAAAAAGTTAATGTAAATCCCTGGTTATGACCTAAAACACTTTTACCATAGTGCATGATTTGAAAACAAATACATTTTCATGTTTGCATCACATAACCAACTCCATATATATATGCCTTCTGTGAAATAGTAAAATTGCTCGGTAGTCGACACGGTACAGCATTATATTTGCATTGTGCTCACATATGGATCCTGTGAAACATGAATAACTAGAAGCAAAATAAAATTGTATGGTAGCTACAGCAAATGTGTTGCTTTTGTTAACACTATTAGTTTATGGTAAGGGTTTAGTCTATTATTTTCAAAAGTGATAGAGCATTAAGCTTTTAGCTCCACTTATAGGACATTTAATTTCCAAAATGCTGTGATATGTACTGTACAACAACCATTGCTACTTTCACATTCATTAGTTTCTGGGAAAACCGAATACACTTTTAGCACCACTCACTGGACATTTCACTTTAAAAGCGCTGTAAAACATGCAAGAAGCAACTTAATGTAATTTTGCAGAAATATCACCAGAAGCATTTTTTTTCTTCCAGTGAGCCTGGGTTGACTTACTTTCTCCTGTGGGGCACAAAAGAAGCACATTGTAGTCCAAACAACATTGGCCCAATACACTTTCATTATATTGGCAAAACAAAACATTTTTTCCCATTTTTTTAAGCAAGAAACTATTTTAGCAATTAAAAAAGCTTAGTTATTACACAGATTGGGTTTTAATAACATTGATACCAATTTACCTAAATATGTAGTGTCTAATACAGTAATACCTTACTGAAACTGTTCTCCAGATTTGAGTCACTGTGCTTAGGGAAGCTCATCTTGGATCAGAGCCCCGCAATGATATCATTCAGGCCACCTAAATTTAGCGGGAACGCTAATTTCATTTCTCACTAATAAGGAGCTCCATTACAAGCTACTAATTCACACCGTGTTTCTAATGTTGCGCTGCATGTTTTCACAGAGGTGAAATCAAACGCCCTCTAGCAATGGCGCTCAAGTCAAATCTCAATTTGAAGAGTTTTTAGAGCAAACCTAAAACAAGTTATCCTGTGACACAGGGGGGCTTTAGCCTAGAAAGCCTACTGAGCACCACTGCTCTTGGCTAAAGACCTAGTCTGAGGAATGAGGAAGAAGAAAAAGAGTTTCCTGTTATAGCAAGAGCCAGTTCACAATCGGACACCAGACAAAAGCGATTGTATACAGTGAAGTGATTTTGATGTTCCTGCATGGTAAATGATCTATATAGATAATTCTGACAGCAGGGCAAAGATGAAGAGGAAGAGACACAGCGAGGAACATGAAGTCCAGCAGGTCAAAGGCCCAAAGGATGGTGAAGAATATATAAGGTCAGCCTTATGAATCGAGACTTCCCGTGGAGCATGTTGTAGTGATTGAGGCATTTGCCTACCTGGGCAAAGCATCCAAATGCAGCAGGAGGCCTACAGGTTTCTACAAGTTCAGGAAGAGATACTGAGAGACAGATGTTACGCTCCATATGAGAAAATGTCCATGAAGACCAAACATTACTTTTTAAAAACATGGCACAGGCTACATTCTGGCCAATATGGAGGATTTAATCTTAGATTTCATTCTAGGGGTCAATGACATGAATAACAATTTTGTTAAAAATATTATAAGTATTAGTAAAAAAAAAAAACATACAGGGGGAAAACATACTGTAAACAGGAAATTACATCATAGAGGGGACTTCTGCAGACCCTAATGACTGTGTGGTTAAGAAGTCAATAAGTTTCTTCAAATATCAGATGATTTGCCTTTTTATTATACAGCAAGGTTAGTTCAGGTTGTTAAACGTCATGTAGTCAAAGCTCCAAAAATAATACATGATATTTGCAAAAATAAACAACCTAACCCTTAAATTCTTTATTTATTTATTTATTTATTCATTTATTTAATTCTTCTTTTACTTTGATGGTTACACCACATGTTATTTAAACTGAATTTTTTTTAAACCAACATGAATACAGAGAAAATGTCTGAGAACTTGGCTCATGCATTTTAAATTGTTTATTTAAAAGATATGTTTTTTGTTTGTTTGTTTGTTTGTTTTGTTTTAATTTATTTTGGACAGTCATTGACACATAGACCAGCATGTCTTGACTTTTTTTTTTTAATCAGGAGATTCAAAAGTTGAAATACAGTATATACAGGAAAAGCCATAGAGTTTTGGAGAATGACAGTTCTCTGCATATATAAGCCTGAAGGCAAAATGCAGAAATAATACATTTCTCCTCAGCGCCTGCTATTCTTACTTCAAGGTGAACTAACACCTTTATGTTCATTTCACCAATTCACTGGTACTAAAATAGAGCGCATTTATATGCACTGTCGCTTATCGTCATCTGACAGTATCAACCAAAAACAGACCTTCCAAGCACCTCAAGCTTTTCTCATGACATCCCAAAAACAACAATCAAGAAATAAATGATCCGGTGCAGAACGAAAGGTAAAAATAACAGCTTAATTCTTCTGCTCTGCTAAAATGAGAGTGTGGTGTTTGGATTATGGAAGAAACCGACAAGCAAAGTGCTTTTAAACAGGATTACTAGTGAACGCCATGAGATGTGCTAATCTCATCGCGGGTTGCGGTGTCACATTCTGAGTACTCCATCTTTTCTCGCTCCCTCCTCTTTCCCCCTCTTTTAATTTGGAATATTGCTGTTTCAAAGCACCGAAGGCTTGTCATTGCTGCAAAAGAGCAGCCATTTTGCAAAGATAATTGACCTCTTTTTCATTGGCTGCCCCAGGGAAGCTAGGGAGGAAAACACAGAATGTGCCTCTTTTTGATTCATTTAAAGCCAAAGGCACTGACCATCGCAATGAGGCCCGAATCAAGAGGGAAGCAACAAACAAAGGACGCAGATCCCATTCTTCTAACAGCGAAGACATATGGTTCCATAACCAAGAGAGTTCCAGGGTCAACAACAAACAGTGGCAAAAGGCATTGAGAGAATCTCAAGATGAATGAGACGAGACGGAGCAAAGGTGAAGTCACTTCTTACAAGCTGCCCTAAAAATGCTCCAATTGGTGCTTCGGTTTGTGAAAACATAATGGAAAAATAATGTCCTCATAAGAATTTCCAAAAGTACATAAACAAATCTACATGTATCAAATTAAAGTAGTTATGAACACTGCAATGAAAAAGCTTTGGATGGATGGATGGATGGATGGATGGGTAGGAAAACGATGTATGGATGGATAAGTAGAACAATGGGTGGAAAGATGGATGGATGGATGGATGGACGGACGGATGTATAAGTAGAACAATGGACCGATGGATGGATGGATGGATGGATGGATGGACAGACAGATGTATAAGTAAAACAATGGATGAATAGATGGATGGATGGATAGATATTACTCCACATTTATTGAGGTAATTCACTTAAGAAATTAGAAATGTGTGTGTGTGTTTGTCTGTGTGAGAGAGTGTGTGTGTGTGTGTATAAAAATAAAAATGTAAAAAAATGGCTGAATGATACTCTGATAGTAAGAACTGACCTTTCGCTCTAGGCTGTTGGTTCCGCTGGTGTTGTTGGCTTTCAGAAAGCCTGCTGTGGTGGACCATCGTGTGGGGTTCTTACGAGACGGTTCCTCTGGCTGCAGCTGGGCTTCGGGCAGGCCAGCCAGAGCTGGATCACTGCTGCGGCGTACATGCAAGGGCATGTCTGAAACAGAGATGAGAGAGGTCTTGTTAACAGCATATTTTCTCACTTTCTTCACTACGGTACAGTTAGACATCCTTCCCACATGGCCACAGATAACAAACACAGCACTTCAGCTGAGTTTCCTCGATTTCCTACAGAACGACCCTTTTCAGCCCCACAAAAGTGTGACAGGGACACAGTAGTACATTTCTGTCTGACACAAAGCCAGTTCCTTTGAGCCTTGCAAAGAAAGGCGGTGGCAATAGGACCATTTAGCTGGGCTTGTTCTGTGACTATGTGCACCGCACACACTTTTGAAAGAGATGGGCGACGAGAGCCAGAGGTGTCCCTGTGCTGCTGCGCTGTAATGGGTTTGAACTGCAGGGCAGGTGGGGGGGGATTAGTCAGATACCAGTTCACACTTCCTGTCTCACACAGCTCAGATCGCAGCCGCTCTGGATTCAAGGTTCTGTGCTTGTGGTCGTCTACAGAGTAGACTTATTTCTACACCTTTCTATACGTTTCTGTAACACTTCTTATTAAGCGTCTATGTTTAAAGAATTAAACTAAAAATGTCTGATAAGAAAAGATTGAATATTCTTCTGAGTAACTGTAACCACAAAATGGTACTTGCCAATAAAAGAGAATCGTATTTTAATCGTGATCACAATTTCTGCTTCTCTCGATTTATTAAGCATAATCAACTGCTATATTTGTAATACAGTCATTTGCACTGTTTGCTGCAACTAAATCTGAGTGTAAACCACTTACATTTGCCACAGATTCAGGATCTGCTGTTGCTAGCTCAAAATATGTGTTTAGGCCTCCATTTCTAATTCCGATAAGTTACTGGAGTAGTAAGAAGGCAGCATGACTGGGCAAGCTGTACCCACAGTTAATACTGAGTAACATATTTTAGAGACATTATTGGCAGTTAATTTGCCTGTTGCTGCTCCACCTACAAAAGTAGTTGAAAAGAACACAGCAGAACCACTGCAATACACAATAATGGCGCTCCTGAATAAATCAGCCATTTCATTCAACAAAATGGTTGAATGAATGATCATTTGAGGGCTTCTCAATCCTGAAAGGCCATCTTAATTTGAAAGATCCTTGGAAGACAGTCTTTGTTTCGCATCCTTCATTCAGCATGTTTTAAAGCATTCATCAAGTTTACCCTTCGCATCCTCCAATCATCCACAAACCTTTGCACACATTTAAAATTGAGTGTTTAGCCTAGAAACTTCATAAGGACTGGTCTAGATAGGACTTCCATTTGAGAATCACCCATTTGTTTTGTTCCTGAATGAATCAGCACTTATATGCAAGTCATCCAAAACAAATGATTTAAATGACTCAATTGTTTGTTTCGTTCCTAAATAAATCAATGTTTTTGAACCAATCAAGACACGTTTTTCCATTCCACTGTGCTACTTTTTCATTGATTTTCTATGTAAGCACAAACAAATCAGTTGAACAAATTATTAAAATGACTCGCTCACAATGACGCTCTCCAATCATCCACAAACCTTTGCACACATTTAAAATTGAGTGTTTAGCCTAGAAACTTCATAAGGACTGGTCTAGATAGGACTTCCATTTGAGAATCACCCATTTAAATGACTCAATTGTTTGTTTCGTTCCTAAATAATCAATGTTTTTGAACCAATCAAGACACGTTTTTCCATTCCATTGTGCTACTTTTTCATTGATTTTCTATGTAAGCACAAACAAATCAGTTGAACAAATGATTCAAATGACTCGCTCACAATGACGCTCGCTTGTCGCCACCTACTGGCATAACAATGTAACCTGCAGAAATCAGTGAAGATTCTATAAAGAATACGCAGACAGACACTCGATCAGACTCGAGGAATATTTGAAACATTTTATACTGCATTAAAGAACAGTTTTTCCATTCCACTGTGCTACTTTTTCATTGATTTTCTATGTAAGCACAAACAAATCAGTTGAACAAATTATTAAAATGACTCGCTCACAATGACGCTCGCTTGTCGCCACCTACTGGCATAACAATGTAACCTGCAGAAATCAGTGACGATTCTATAAAGAACACGCAGACAGACCAGAGTGATACACTTTGTTGGACTCTCAGCACTCTTGGAATGCTACTCGATCAGACTCGAGGAATATTTGAAACATTTTATACTGCATTAAAGAACAGTTCACCCATAAATGAAAACTCTGTCACCCTCAGGTCATTTCAAACCTTCTTGATTTGTTTTATTCTGTGGAATACAAAAGGTGAATTTTTGAAGAATATCCTGCTACACTTGTCAATATAACGAGAGTACAGTAAGTAAATCTATCCCTTACAGTAGGTCAACTATCCATTTAAGAATATCTTCATAATACATTATGCATGTTTCATATAAAGCGCTTCGTTTTATGAACATCATACAAAATATCAAACCAGTTCAGAGTAAATTAGACCTGAGGGGAAAAAATAAACACCCCCAAGAAGTCTTTTCCCTGACAGAGCACAATTGTTTCCCTTGTTAGGCTCTGTACTAGAGGTCTACACGGGTCCAAAAATTCGCACCCGAACCCGAAGAGACCCGTAAATGTGCTACACTGAACCGACCCGGACCCGTCTATTATTTTGAAAGTTGGATTTATGAACATCATACAAAATATCAAACCAGTTCAGAGTAAATTAGCCACAGTCAGTGGCACATTAGACCTGAGGGGAAAAAATAAACACCCCCAGGAAATCTTTTCCCTGACAGAGCACATTTGTTTCCCTTGTTAGGCTCTGTACCATGCTTTAGCTGTAGCCAACGCAAAAGTAAAGTGTTCACATGTCATCTGCAGTAGTGTCTGAGTGTCGACAGGCAGATTTACTGTTAGTGTCTTGCTACCTGGCAGAAGCTCTGAGTGCTCTGAGCGGTTGAAATTTCTCAGCTCTCTGGTCTCCGGGTTTATGAGTTGCTACGGGTGTATGTGGTACATCCATAATTATGCAAATGTCCCAGCAACCACCTGTCATCCCTCGACAACGTCCTGCCGCAGCATATGCCCATATTGCGACTACCATCTGATACCATGCGCATGCATATGCAGCTCACAGGAAGTCCTAATTTTACAGACGTAGATGTTTCAGTCAGGCCACAATTCGCAACATGCAGTCTCAATGAAAACAGAACCGTGAAATCCGAATAGCCTGAGGCCGTACAAAAACACTCCGCAGACCAAGGGAGGCCCTATTATTCAATTACGAACTGAACTCAATAATGATTTTTAATACACTTCCTTTTGTCAGTGGTCAGTTCACATTCGTCCGCATGCATATGCAGCTCACAGGAAGTCCTAATTTTACAGACGTAGATGTTTCGGTCAGGCCACAATTCACAACATGCAGTTTCAATGAAAACAGAACCGTGAAATCCGAATAGCCTGAGGCCGTACAAAAACACTCCGCAGACCAAGGGAGGCCCTATTATTCAATTACGAACTGAACTCAATAATGATTTTTAATACACTTCCTTTTGTCAGTGGTCAGTTCACATTCGGTTCATGGCTCTAATGACATGGCCCCTCAGTCGAAGCGTAACTGTATAACTCTTACCTATGTCTGGGATTACATTCAGTAATTAGCTAAAGGCCAATATGGCTGAAAACGCACAGAGATGGGTCTCAAGAAAAAAAAAAAGATTAAATGACATCCAAATACATCGTTTCAGTCTCTGTAAAATTACATTACATATTACTAATGTCAAACAAGCAATAACAAGAAGTGACATGCGGATTGCAGATAATGGGAGTGGGAACTAATGAGGCTTTCAGAGAAGCAAGAAACAAAATCAAAAACAATGTTTTATTGAATGTGACATGGTTGTTGAAGTCAGCTGGATTGCATCTGATCAGCAATGTCAGGAATCTGTGCAGAAGTACAAGAGAAGCCAAAAGATGTCTGTGGAAAGTCAGGAAATGGTGGGAAATACTCCAATCTTCAACAAATATTTTAAATCATGTTGATGATCAGGCCTGAATGAATCCACGTGGAACCTCATATTTTTTGGCCCAGTATTTGGTTAAATTTTTTTTTTTTAGTATCCCAACGTTTCTAATTTGAACACATGCGATTTTAAACAGTGGATTTCTTTAAATATATTCAGGGAGCAGGTGGTTGCTCATCTGATGCATGTGTTCATATTCTTGTTTGATTTTGTTAAGAACCTAATCACAAAATCTTTGAAGAGAATCAAACCACATGCTCGTCTGCAACATGTCGCATTATTATACTAATTTGGATAAATACTTTTCCTTTTCCCCGCTTACTCATGATTTCCAGCTAAATTAGTCTTTAACTACTCACATGCAAAGACAAAAATATCTGTGTCTTAAGCCAAAACTTTGTAATTCAATTCCTCTATCAATACACAAACCATCTGAAGCATCCAGCAACTTTCTCATGCACAAACAAATGATACACGGGTGGAAATCACATGAGTTTAAAATATCTCTGCATATTTTAATATGAGAATATTTCTGCATATTTTTTAAACAATGAGGGCATGGATTGCAGAAAGCATGTGATGCTGCTCCCACAATATTGCTTTTGTTGAACAGCCCATCTAGTGAGTACACACAGAAGACACACGACCCCGTTTTATCCCTTTCTCGCGCCACTCCAGCCAATATGGGCTCCTAATGTGTGATCGGATTAGCTTTCCTCCACCAGAAATTGGCTTCCTCTGCGTTTAATAACCAAGGCGACCACTTAAAGGCCTGTACCCATCGATCTCAGGTGTGTTAGGGGTATGGCCAGGGCCTCTAATGAGACCAAGGACCAATTTCAGCTCTCCATGGAGGATTATGAATAGAGGGGGAAGCACAGGCCTGCAAACAAGCTAGACACCAAAGATGGGGTTCAACTCACCAGGGACGCCCTCTCAGACATCATATTTACATCTCTAATCCATCGCCTCTCGTTGAGGGCCACGCGGTGGAGATTTGTGGATTAGTCCGTAATTAAGACAGAATATGCACTGGTTTCT